TTATATTTCAGTCGACCCAGCTGTAAATGGGTAGTAAATAAGTCATTTTCCCTTATATTCCAGTCGACTCTACTGTAAATGGGTAGTAAATAAGAAATTTTCCCTTATATTCCAGTCGACCCAGCGGTAAATGGGTAGTTAATAAGTCATTTTCCCTTATATTTCAGTCGACCCAGCTGTAAATGGGTAGTAAATAAGTCATTTTCCCTTATATTTCAGTCGACCCCACTGTAAATGGGTAGTGAATAAGTCATTTTCCCTTATATTTCAGTCGACCCCACTGTAAATGGGTAGTGAATAAGTCATTTTCCCTCATTATTCAAGTCGACCCTACTGTAAATGGGTAGTGAGTAAGTCTTTTTCCCGCATTATGCCAGTCGACCACGCTGTAAATGGGTAGTGAATAAGTCATTTTCCGCATGATTCCAGTCGACCCCGCTGTAAATGGGTACTGAATAAGTCATTTTCCCGCATGATTCCAGTCGACCCCTCTGTAAATGTGTACTGAATAAGTCATCTTTCATCATTATTAAACTCGACCCCGCTGTAAATGGGTAGTGAATAAGTCATTTTCCCTCATGATTCCGTGCGACCCCGCTGTAAATGGGTACTGAATAAGTCATTTTCCCGCATGATTCCAGTCGACCCCGCTGTAAACTGGCAGTGAATAAGTCATTTTCTCGCCTGTTTCCAGTTGACCCCACTGTAAATGGGTAGTGAATAAGTCATTTTCCCGCATGATTCCAGTCGACTCCGCTGTAAATGGGTAGTAAATAAGTCATTTTCCCGCATGATTCCAGTCGACCCCGCTGTCAATGGGTAGTAGATAAGTCATTTTCCCACAATAGTCATTTTCCAACATGAATCCAGTCGACCCGACTGTAAATTGGTACTGAATAATTATATTTTATCATTAATCGTTACTTATTCTTGACCACGGATAATCAGTACAAATAAATGTCAATAGCCAACACCAGCCGATATGTTTGTATCGAAAATCAGTAGATAGTGCAGGGTGGATTCATAGAACTATAGAAGTATGAGATATATAAATAATGTAATAACAATCACCAGATGTCAAGAAATATACCATATATAGATTAAAAATAGAAAAAAACAGCTTTCAGGAAACAAACAATGTTATAATCAATTATAAAATATCAGAAACATGTTTACTGTTTTAGCTCAATCGATTTAGTCTTAATATAGGATAATAAATTAAAACATAACAAAACTAGATATGGTTCAATTACAACAGATGTCAGTGCGAAGGAATCGGATTCCAAAAAATAATATGTAAATGGGTAGTTAATAAGTCATTTTCCCTTATAAATCAGTCGACCCAGCTGTAAATGGGTAGTTAATAAGTCATTTTCCCTCATTATTCCAGTCGACCCCGCTGTAAATGGGTAGTTAATAAGTCATTTTACCTTATATTCCAGTCGACCCAGCTGTAAATGGGTAGTAAATAAGTCATTTTCCCTTATATTCCAGTCGACTCCACTGTAAATGGGTAGTAAATAAGACATTTTCCCTTATATTCCAGTCGACCCAGCTGTAAATGGGTAGTTAATAAGTCATTTTCCCTCATATTTCAGTCGACCCAGCTGTAAATGGGTAGTAAATAAGTCATTTTCCCTTATATTTCAGTCGACC